CAAGCAGTGTGAGTGTAAGAAGTCCGGAGTGAGGGTGAGATGGGGCATGAGCCACAAGGCCGACATCCGAGTCAGAGGTACCGAGACAGGCCCTGCTCACAAACACCAGGATGTGCAAGCCACCTTCACTCACAGCTTCTTCCCACTTGCAGATGTTAGCTAACTCTCAACCCAGCTTTTGACAGAGTGTATCTTCGACTGCAGGACACGTGGCCACCTCATGCCAAGTGCAACTCTGGAGAAGACCTTTTGCCTAATTGCTATGACAACGGTTCCTAATTCTCCTACATCTTCACCTCTGATGCAAGAGCAGTAAAACAATAAGCCACTCTTGCAGGTGTGTATGTGAGTATATATACATGTGTGTGAGTGCCCATGGAGGCCAGAAGAGGGTGTGTGTATGTGAGTATATGGACACGTGTGTGAATGCCTATGGGGCCAGAAAAAGGTGTTAGATCTCTCAAAATGCAGTACAGGCATTTGTGAGCTACCCACACAGGTGTTGGGGTTCAAATTCTGGCCCTTATGACTGAGCAGCAAGTGGTCTTAACCACTGAGCCCTTCTCCAGACCAGGACTGCCATTCAGCCACATGGCAGACCATATATTTGTAGGGAACCATAGTATACAGTATCTAAAAGGCTAGTTCAGTGTTCATGTAAAGAATATGCCAAATGCACAGCTAAGACATCCTGACGGGCAGAGGGAAGAAAAGCTAAGGTCCAAGAAGAAGAGCTCTGCTGGGTGGCCATTCTCCAGTCTGCTGGGGTTTAGAGACAGAGGCTGGCACTGGTGTGCAGAGTAAGGCAAGCTTGCAGAGAGCCAGGGCAGCTGAAAGCAATACTCTCAGTCAATGAGGGACAAGAAAAAATAAAAACAAACCACACAGAAATGTGGGAATATTTACATGTACTGTGCTGACTCCTCAATACAGAAGGAGGGAAAAGAAAACATCCCTGAAAATCTCTGAGCATAAAGCTACCAAGTAAAGATCTGGGGCAGAATCCACACTATTCACCCATACAAACTATCCTATGGTTAAATTTTCACTACAGGGGATTCCATGCTTCCCCAAAGTAAAGGAATGTGCCTTATAATGAGGCTTCCTAGAATTCCCACAGAGTTCTAAGAAGTAACTGGGTCATGATTTAAGCATACAAAAAAAAAAAAAAAAAAAGGTAAGGTCACCCTTAGCCAGGACCAGAATTAAAAAAATTGTTTAAGACCTGAAGACACAGAAACAAACAAATACCAAATAAGGATGTTTAATAAATATGAGGTTAGTAAAAACTTAACTAGGGTAATGATGGTCAAAACTTATCAGATTGGTCTTTAGATAATTTGGGAAGCTGGAAATGCCTTGAGTGGATGTGTACAGGGTGGGTGAGTCCTGAGTGGATGTGTACAGGGTAGGTGAGTCCTGAGTGGATGTGTACAGGGTGGGTGAGCACTGAGTGGATGTGTACAGGGTGGGTGAGTCCCGAGTGGATGTGTACAGGGTGGGTGAGTCCTGAGTGGATGTGTACAGGGTGGGTGAGTCCTGAGTAGATGTGTACAGGGTGGGTGAGTCCTGAAGGAAGGGGCACTGATGACGTAGGCATGTTAAGGACCCAATGCCTCAGCCGATGGGAAGGGCGAAGCCTCTCCCGGATGAGGCTAGGGATGGAAAGCCTTCCTCTGGTGTTGTTCTGAAGACTGACCAATGTGTGAAAGAGCAGCAGCTGTAGCTGCCTCCTCCTCCATCCTCCCACTCCTCCTCCAGAGACTACCTCCCCTCTGGTCTTCACTCAGTGGACTAGCCCAGGTTACAGGCGGTTTCACAGCTGGTGCTCAGCCCATCAGCGTGAGCATGGCCCACATGACCCCAGCATCTCTGTACATTTGTCTGGGTGTCTGTTCTTTCTTCATCCCCTCGTGGCTGAGCTGTGCTGGACCTGGCAAAATGATACAGGTGGAATCTCTAGAACTTCCTTCAGTGAAAGGGTTAAGTATGACAGACAAGTTAGCTACTGACAATATGAAGATGAAGGCATAGCTAAGAAATGAACGTGGGTCAAGGAAGACACAGAACAGTGCAGAGAAACAAAAAACAGACTATAAGAATGGCTGTAAGCTTGAGGATGGGGCCCAGGGATCTGACAACTGCCACCCAGGGAGGAGACCAGAGAATAAGAGTCGGGTCCAAGCGGGATGAGAAGACAATGGACTTCACACTGAAAACTCCAAAACACAACCCGGGTGGGTTTTAAGAAAGTTCATAGAGACATCACATCAAAAGACCAAACTTAAAAATAAGGGAGAGGGGGGACATCCAGGGGTGGGAGAGACAATTCCTAAAGAAAGGAATGCCAGGGAGAATTGAAATACTTCCTGGCTGTAGACAGGGGAGCTCAGATACAGTGTGCCAAAGAGATCCGGGGCTCATGCAGAGGTGTGAGTCCAGCCTCATCTGAGCTAGCATCTGAGAACCGTTCAGGTCAAGGGCACTGCATCTTGGAACACTGAGTATCAGCAGGACTGAGAAGCATGGCCTCTCTGTTCTCTCCCATCTCTCTGCTCCCTGTAGCCAAGCTAGAAAAGTCCCCTCCCTCTGTGAAGTCCTGACTTCTGGGCCCACAAAGAGGCCCAGAAAGAGGAGAGCACTCAGAAAGGCCAAGAAACATCTCAACACCTGGCTGGGCTCCCACTAAGTAAGCCCTGCACCCCACTGTCCATGCTGCATCACAAAGGTCTCCCTGCGGTGTGGGGTCAACATTTCCGAAAGCTTCATGTGGCATAAACTTTGATTAAGTACATTACTGTGCTTCGCTCTTGGATTTTAACCTTGTCTCAGGAGTGCCAGCCATGAGAGAAAGAACTGTACCCACCACCTCCTCTAGAGCTTTCTACCGCAGCTCTCACTAAAGGAATTCCTGCCTGAGAAACAGAGAAAGGGAAGCCATGAGGAAAATCTGAGAGTCGAGAAAAGATCTCTCACAGTATCTCATCTTCACTTCGTATCCCACAAAACTCTAGATACAAAGGAACACTAGCCCGCCTGTATGGAAAGTGGGCGTCTAGAACAAGTGTGTGCCTAGTGGAAGGTGAGTTCTACCCTGGACAAACCACTGGCAGCCCTGGAAAACCTCAAGCACTAAGAAAATCATGTGAGCCAGGCAGTGGGGTGCAATGCCTTTCATCCCAGCACTCAGGAGGCAGAGGCTGGCAGATCTCGGTGAGTTCGAGGCCAGCCTGGTCTACAGAGTGAGCTCCAGGACAGCCAGAGCTATATAGAGAGACCTTGTCTTGAAAAAGAAAAAAAAGAAAAAAAGAAAAAGAACAAAAAAGAAAATGGCATGGTGCAGAGGCCAACAGAACACACTGGAAAGGACGAGAGGACGAGAACAGACAAGAGTGTCAAGCAGAACCACAGTCTGAAGGAGCAGGCTCTACATCCTTCTCCATGGCAGGTGAGAGTTCATCTCTGAGATACTTGTAATCATCTCTGGGAAAGTCAGGGGCTATCATTCTTTAATGCTTTAGGGCACTTTAGGGCTCTATATTTGCACATTCTGTGGGGATATTGAAAACTCAACAAGAACCAGTCAAAAAATTACAGAACGATCTACACTGACTCATTAGACTTAAGGACATTATAATAATCACAGTTACATAATTATAGATTGACTGTTCTATAATATATTGAGCTTTCTGCTCACTGGAAACCCCAAGGTCATTTCACACACAATAGATAACATACAAATTCTCTTCCTTCCAGGCATGAGAGATCTAGGGATTGTCTATGTCACATAAAAATTTACATCCTCCTAGGTGATAAGATCCTTTCGCTGAAGATGCTACCAACATGATCACAGGACATAACAAATCAAGCTGGAACTGGGCTGGAAGCTTCCTCCCGGCTAGCTAGCTCTCACAGTGCTGGTAAGTGCCACTCTGGGGGAGAAAAGTCATCTATGGTCTTATGGCTATGGACTCTGTGTGCTGACTTCCAGGAAAGATTCTGCACAAGCCTGGCCCCATCACCACCCTGCCATGGAATGGGAGAGCTCATGGGGCTCAACCACTCCCAGTAGCTGGTGGGAGGGAGAGACGCGTTCATCAGTGATACAGCCACTGGCAAGGCACACCCGCTCCTGTGCACAATCAATGTTCATGTTCCTATCAACAACCCTGATGAAACTCACTGGCCATGCACAAAAGATGTAACAGTAAAAAGAGGGCTAGCTGGGAAAAGGATGGAGATGATCAGGGCTGGGAGGAACATAAAAAAGGGTATTGAGGTAATGAGTGAAATGCATCATGTACACATATTGAAAATGTCATCATTAAATCCACTGGTATGAATAGTCAATATATAGAAATAAAACATTTAAAACTGTATGCTTTCCTTCCCTATGTACTTCTATAGTTTAATCTCTAATCCCAAAAGCAGCCCCATCCGTTTTCATGCTCAGGGTCTATGGAATGTTCTTTTGTCATTCATCATATGTTCTGGCTTCAGAAACCTTAGACACTTAGAAAATGTAGAGTCTAGGCCTCACCAGAGATGACCTAGGGATTGAAAGAGAAGGACTGTGCATTTCTAACTCCCAACATGTTGAACAACCTTAGTGATCCTTACACAAGCCAACTTGGATCTCCCGAGGCAGCGTCCATAACCCTATGGTACGCCTCCCAGCTGCCCCAAGGGATTCTGGACCTTTTTAGATCTCCCTCTTTCACAGGCAGCAGCTGACTGAAGCTATGCTTACATGGATTCCCTTGGTACTGAGAACAAGGCCATATGTACACACTACCTAAGAACCAGGACAGAGAGACAGAATTGTCACAATCAAAGGTGACACTCAAGGTTGTCCTGTGGCCTTCATGTGCATTTAAGAAAAACAATCACAGGACTCCCTTCTACATGCTTTTGCTCTACATTCCATCAAGGGAAGAGAGATGATTCTGGAACACACTAGAGAACTCTAGAACACCTGACTGGTGTCTACTCTGCTGACCTTTAACCCGGGGTGGGAGCTCCTGCTCCCACTCCAGCCATTCTGCCCCATCTGGAGAGATACTCAGGAACACGTGTAAAGTTCATAGCGCAGAGGAACAACTATAAAATAGAAAGCCTCAGTTGCTTACCACCAGGTGACTGGAAGCCAATTAACGGCAGTTCCTGTGACCAAGTATATCATGCCTGCCTGTCAAGAAAATATTATGAGAGAAACCAAAAACCAAAGTCAATTGGAAGAAACATCATACCACACCATCCAGTGGTGTTAGACCCATCAGGACAAGAATTTAAAGAACTAGGATTGATATTCTGAGGTCCTGAGGGGTAAAGTAGATGCCACAGGAGAACAAGTGCCCATGTAAGCACAGACGGAACTCCTAAGAGCTAAAAGGAATGCTTGTGTCCAATCCAGGAGAGCAGAAATGAAGAATGCCCGTGATGGGTTTATTGGTATGCTAGATAGAGGCTGAGGATTGAAAAACCTAAAAGAGGAGAGGGAGAGGAAAGGGGAGGAGGGAGAGGAAGAGGGGGAAGAGGAAGAAGGAGAGAGGGAGAGAGGGAGAAAGAGAGAGAAGGAGAGGAGAAAGGGAGTGGATGTGCAAAAACTGCAGGCCAGCCACACACTGAACTATGCAATGAATGCACCGGAGGGAAAATGGCCAAAGGGAACAGGTATTTGAAAGAAAAAAGGAACGACCGAGAATGTCTTCAAGTTAATGTCAGACATCAAACCAGGGAGCCCACACAATACTGAGAAAAATAATAACACTCTACATATACACAGACAAACTGTTTTCAAACTACAGAAAATCAGAAAGAAAAATAACCTGAAGGCCAGAGAAAGGACAAAAACCCAACTTCCCCAAGAG